AGATAGATAGATAGATAGATAGATAGATAGATAGATAGATAGATAGACAGACAGATAGATAGACAGATTACATAGATATAGTGAACATGGACAGAAACAGTTTAGCTGGGGAAGCTTGATTATCTTTGGAGAATGTTCAGTTTGAAATACCTTTATCACAGCTCAGTAGAGATATCAAGTGGGCAGTACACATGCCTTTACTAGATGATAGCTAACTTTTCTACACATCGCAGACTCTCTTTGGTTTTCCTGCCAACTTGTTGTGAGCTCCACAGAACCCCAAACTCCGTGAGCTTCAGATTCACAAGTAATAGTGAGGTTGATATTGGCACATATCTGCAAGTGGATAGAGAGGGGTGCTGAGTGAGGAAAAGGAATCTCATTAAGTATGTCTTAAAGAGAGGCTTTCTTTCCAAAAGTCCTAAGTAAAAGATAATATATAAGAAGGGTAATATGTAAAAGAAAGGTAATATATAAAGATAAACCTCAATATACAGTGATCAAAGCAGTACTGAGACTAGGCATACAAAGCAGAAAAAGAAGGGTCCATGTTCATGATCCTTTCACTTACTCATTCAGTTCATTCTTGGTTTGTTTTGCTTTTGTGCTGGGAACTGAATGGGGCCTTATGTAGCCAGTCTAGGGCAGGACCACTGAGTATATCCCTAGTCAATAAAATTCTTGCTTTTTATTTGAGGCACAGTTTGCTAAGTTGTCCAGGCTAGACTTGAGCTCACAATCCAGCTCAGGCAGTCCTTGAACCTGTAATCCTCCTGCATTAGCTTCATGAACAATCTGCATTTTAGGATTGCTTTACCAGGCCCAGATTCATTCATACAGCGACTATTCACTGAGCACTTTCTGCCTACTATGTAGCATTCTAGGCAAGGATGCGACAGTGAATACAACAGACAAGCATTTCTTTGCTGATGGGACTTGTAGTCTGGGCCAACAGAGAGGCTAGGAAGAACAGACAATAAACATAATACACAATGCACTAACCTCTTATCTATTCAGATGGCTGCTATTTAAGAAAATGGAATTGGAAAAAGGGAATGGTGGCTAAGGGCACTGGCGGCTTTTCCAGAGGACCCAGGTTCAATTCCTAGAACCAATATGACTACTCACAAGCATTTGTAATTCTTATATTCAGGGTATCTGATGCCCCGTTGTGGAGGTATAACATGCATGGAGTACAAGATACGCAGGCAGGGGTGGGGTACTGATACAAATGAAATAATATTTTAAAGAAAGAAAAACTGAAAATAAATATTGAGGCTGTGCAGAAATTGGAACATGCTGGTGGAATAAAAAAAAAAATTGCAGCTGCCATTGAAGATAGCTTCTCAAAATACTAAAATTACTATGATCCGGGAATCCCAGTTCAGGGTATGCATGTATTATAGGATGGAAAGCACGGTACTGGGAAGATATTTGTACACCCACAGCCATAGCAATATCACTCACGATAGCCAAAAGTTGGGACTGTCTATCGACCGATGAACAAATAGACAAAATGTGGTGTATGCACACAATGAAATGTTAACCTTCAAAGAAGAAAATATTAAAACGTGCTACAAACGTGTGAAACTAGGGAACACTGCATCAAGTGAAATGTCCTTACAAAAAAGACTATGATTCCATGAAGTTCCAGGAATAGTCCATAGGAAAAAAAAAAAAATAGTTGCCAGGGACCAGAGAAAAAAGAGGAGGGAGAATTGTTCAGTAGAAATTGGGCTTTTGTTTTGCAGGAGAGAACGAGTTGTGGAGATCAGTTTAGACGAATGAACACGCTTAACCACACTCTGAGAAGGGTTGTGATGGGACTCTATAGTTGGTAGAGCACACTTGTGATTCCAGGGCTTAGCCTTTGCAGGAGGTTTGAGGCTATCCTGGGCTAGATGGGGAGAGTCTATGGAAGAGGAGGAAGAAGGGAAGCAGGAGAAGAAAGGGGTTAAGGTGGTAAATTTTGTGTACTTGAACATACACAGAGAAAGAAAGTAATAAATTAAGCTACAAGAAATAAATCTGAAATGAAACGAAGGAGTAGAGCAGGATGCCGGGTGGAGTATTCAACAGTTTTAAGTCAAGAGGGTGGCCGTGTAACTCCTTGAGAAAGGGACACTCGAGGAAGACTTGGAGGGAATTGTCTCTCCTGGCAGCTGTAGTAATCTGTGTACATCTTCCAGGGCCCTTGGGTGCTGTGGCAAAGCCCAGACAGTGATCGCTGGGAGGCTCCTGATGTTGAAGCTGGGGGTGGATGCATTTCAACTTGATTAGAAAGACAATCCAGGTGCTCAGGTGGCACCTGCACTGGCTTTAATGAGATGTCACCTGAGACCGCAGGTCAGGTTACTGTAATGATAAGCGCTTGTTCTTCTACGTGACCCTTTCTAAAGCCAAACTATGGCCCAGAAGCAAAAACCAGAGGTGTGATTTTCACCTTTCTTCCTTTCTTTTCTTTTCTTTCTTTCTTTCTTTCTTTCTTTCTTTCTTTCTTTCTTTCTTTCTTTCTTTCTTTCTTTCTTTCTTAATCTTAGTTTTGCAGGTTGTTATTTAGCCTGAGGAATCTTGGCTTCCTGGGAGCTGAGAAAACTTTCATTTCCCACATGAATTATAAGCCCCTCAGAAGCTTGGGATTTTCAAAGCTTCAGATGACCTTCTCGTCAACCCCTAAGTAAGGAGGGAGCTCAGATATGTGTGTTTCAGTTACTCTTTACCTAACAAATCATATGGCATGGAATCGTGAGTAGCCTAGAAAAGTCTGTGACCTGGTTGTGTTTTTATCATGAACTTAGGAGGCCAGTATGAGCAGGAATCAACTTACCACCATTTAAGCCAATACTTGGTACTTACGACAAAATTTGGAAGAAATTGGTACCATTTGAAGGCTTGAACTTATTCCCACAAGTCATTTTTTATATGACTTTTCTAGATTTCATAAGAAAAGTGAGTGCTGACCATGAATCTCTGCTCTGCCATCAGGAAGAAGCCTGGCCACAGCACACGCTACTGAACATCCCGGCCACTGCACACACCAATGACTATCCTGGCCACCTCGCAAACTACTGAAAATGAGGAGGTGATTAACTCATATGGGTGGTTAACAGCTCTGCTGCTCCCACAATTCTGTCCTCTAGCCAAGGGTTCTGAAACTACACTGCAGGGATGGGATGGGGGTAGAAGCGGGCTCTTTTCTTTTGCTTTGTATCTTTTCTACACTGTAGCAATCATAGTTAACTGCCTGAAAAAAAACACACCACCAACCTTGAAAATGGCCTCCTACTCCAGTGTTTGGAAACCAGTCTGCCTAATATTCAATTTCCTTTAGTTGATGAACATAACTCTTCCCTGTCTTCCTCTCTCTCCTTCCACCCCTTCTTCCCTTCTTTTCTCCCTTCCTTCCTTCACCTCCCTCCCTCCCTTCTCTTTTTCTCCCTTACCCTCCCCTCCTCCTCTCTCCTTCCCTTTCTTTCTTTTATTTTCTTTCAACTTTTTATTGGTTCTTTGTGCATTTCACATCATGCACCCCAATCCTACTCATCTCCCTCTCTCCTCATAGCTGTCCTCCACCCTTGCAACCTCCTCAACTCAACTAAAAAAAAAAAAAAAAGAATCTTCTGGAAGCTGTAGTGTGACACCGTGTATCCTACAGTATACCCTTTTGTCTACATTTCTTTGCTTACAAATGCTCATCACCATGACTTGTTATTTGTTAGTCTGGTACAAGGCCTCTGGTGTCTGCTACTCTATCTGTACTAGAACCTCACTGGGACTCCTGTAGGATATCCTGGTTTTGCCCTATGTCACAGAGATCCTGCAGTTTTGGATCTGATCAGCCCCTTCATGCACTTTAGCGGTTTATAGATGGGAGATGTTGGGGTGGGCCAATTCAGAGCCCTGGATCTGTCAAATAGCCCTGACAGCTATTTGAGCTGGTCAGCCTGCTGTCTGTTCCACTCTTACACCCTCGGGGCTGGTTCACCAGCAACCCCCACAACCAAAGCAGCCCTACCCTACTGCCCCATCGGGGTGCAGGGCCCCCTTTCCAGAGTGTTATAGACGGTGAGGAGCATGGCCTGTTGTCACACTCTGATGACCCTGGGAGAGGAGGAGGGCATCTCTCCCTTTTTCACAACACTACACAAGATGAGAGGCAGGGCTGGCTCTCCTACACTCATGCCCTTGGGACCACCTCACCTACCCCTCCCACATCCAGGGCCAGATCTACTGTGCTGCCCAAGTGAGGGGCAGGGCCTGCTCTCCTGAGTGTTGCAGCTGGTGAGGGGCAGGGCCCACTCTGCTGCTCTCACTCTTCCAGGGCCAGCTCTCCCACAATTCCAGGTGAGGAGTGGGCCATTTCTGCACAGTCCTGAGAAATCAACATGTCCCTGTGTGGCAGCTGAGACCAGGGATATCTGCCTGGTCTTTGGTGACAACAGACACCAGCTGCTGCAAGGCAATGGACCCAGATGTGGCCCCCAGTGGCAGCACAGGCCAGGACTTCACCACGGTCCCAGGTAGCATCACCAGCTGCTCCTATCAGACTGTTCTCACTACCCTTGAGTCTCCAGTTCCGCCTCTCCTCACTGTGCACACATCCTTCTGTTTCTCTTTCTTTTCTATTTCTCCCCTTGCTCCTCTTCATGTTGCCTGTAGTCTCTGAGTGTCTGGAGTTGTTTCAGGACTGCCATGACACCAGGCAGGGGTCATCTCGGCCTGGTCTAAGCCCCAGGCCTGCACAGTGCCAGACTGGTGATTATCTCAAGCTAACTCCCTGTCCAGGCCCAAGGTGCCAGTCTGGTGGTTGTCTCAGGCTTGCTCCTCACCCGGCCCACCCAAGTGGTTCCTTGTGAGGGTCATCTCTCTCGGGCTTACTGCTGCCTGAGACCTGAGGAGGAGTTCTTTTAGTCTCTGGCCCATTAGGGCCTGCCTGAAGTCAGACTGGTGGTCGTCTCAGGCTCGCCCTTTTTCAGAGAACACGAGGCTACTAATCATTCGGATGTTCACAGGGCAGAACGCTCAGTGCAGACGGAGCCTCTCTCCTTTCCGCCACCTACTGGCCCACATGAGACACAGCAGCCACACCAGCAATGCCTCTAGAGCCAGGTCTCTCTCTCTCTCATTCTCTCTCTCTCTCTCTTTCTCTCTCTCTCTCTCTCTCTCTCTCTCTCTCTCTCCCTCTCTCTCTCTCTCTCTCTCTCTCTCTCTCTCTCTCTCTCTCTCTCTCTC